AATGGGGCCCTTTGGTTCAAGTAGGTCACAAGGTTTATGGCTTCTTGCTCCTCAGCATTCTGTCCCTTCATGAAGGGTATCTCCATGCCTTTCCATTCCTTTTTCCAATCCAGGTATATTCTGTCCTTTATGACCCAGGTTGGCAGCTAAGAAGCAATGGGGTGTCAGGCTCAAATCATTGCATACATGCAGTTCAGAATCAAGGCGTGAACAGAGAGTAGGTGTTGGGCTCTCTTTTTATGTGGGGCCTGATTATATGGGCTTAACTGCTTATTATTCAGAACAATATGATAGACAATATAACCTGAAAAGTTTCTTTTAACAACATGCCAGGTAAAAATAAACATTCTTTGAAACGCATAACTGAGCTGGCAAAAAGGAAAGGAAATTAGCAGAGGTCGAAAGTGAAGAGAGAGTTGGAAATCAAAATGGTGATCTGATATTGAAATTACCCTGGGGCATTTGTCACTCTCAGAGCCTTGCAGCTCAACACCTATTCTGAGACTAAGAAGCAAGGAAGGCCTGAGCAAGGTGGAAAATCGGAACTGAAAAATTCTCCCAGTCATTCAAAACAGCTTTTTTTTTTTTTTTGAGTTGGAGTTAGTGGCACACTCACAGCCACCCCAGCATCGACCTGCTGGGCTCAGGTGATCTTTCTGCCTCAGCCTTCCAAGTAGCTGGCACTACAGGCGCGTGCTACCACATCCAGCTAATTTTTTATTTATTGTAGAGATGAGGTCTTGCCAAGTTGCCCGGGTTTGGTCTCAAACCCACGGGCTCAGGCAATCCACTCACGTCGGCCTCCCAATGCACTGGGATTAGTAGCTGAGCCACTGAGCCTGGCCAAAGACAGCCTTCTTAAATCCCTCTTCAGTGAAACGACTGACCCCAAAAATCCACCCATTGGCAAAGGGAAAAGACAAGGAAACCCGTTTGCCTTAGCCTCGGCTCCAAGTAGGGAATTTATAGTCATAAATTCTCTCTACCCTGAGAATTTATGACTCAAGACCTACTTATACATCAGTTTGGGGCTCAAATTTACACTATAAACATGGTCGAGGAAGCCCTCAGTCTAGAAATTAAAAGTGGTCCCAGATTAAGAGTAATAGAGGATGCCTAGAAGAAGCAAATATAAATCTCCTTTGATGGGATACATCTCAAAGGAGATAATCAGACCATTCAGGAGTCCCACAAATAAAATTCTGAAAAAAAGCTATTGCCAACTCAAAATACCAAGAAAAATTAGAGCTAAAAACAAGGATCTTAGCAGACAAAAACTGAGAATTCACCAAGAGAGTCTTACTAAAGGAACTTCTGAGGGATATTGATTCAAAAGAAAGAAACTGATCCCCAAAAATCTAAATTACAAAAAAGAATAATGAGAAAAGAAACCAGTAACATGTGGGTAAATCTAAACATCTGATTCCAGCAGTGTAAGTAAATGTCTGTCAAATCATTAGCTAATCACTAAGGTAACTGAGCAGGCTTCAGCAGGCACATATGACAAAGAATACAGTCTTTACAGAAATAGATAAGAACAAATAACAAACAGCAACAATAAACTATGGGAATGGGATGGAGAATTCATTTCCAGAATGGTCACATTATAGTATACAAAACATCCAACTCTCAACAAAAAATTGAGAAATGTAAGAAACAAACAAACAAAAAAGTGAGAGAAAGAAAAGTAGGTCCATACAGAAAGAAAAGAGCAGCCAATAGGACCATCCCTAAGGAAGCTGAGACATTGAACTTACTAGAGTAAGACTATAAATCAGCTATTTTAAATATGTAATAAGAACGAAAAGAAACCATGTTCAAAGGACCTATATAACAATATCTTACCAAATAGAGAATATCAATAAAGAAATAAAAATTTGCCAGGTTCAGTGGCTCAGCCTGTAATCCCGTGCCTTTGGGAGGCTGAGGTGAGTGGATTGCCTGAGCCTGCGGGTTTGAGACCCACC